GGAGAGGTAACACACAACTCTGATACACAGCTTTTTGTCTACTTGTCTATTTTGCTGACTTAGGCATCGGAGGGGTTTCCGGCACACACCCGCCGGCTAGCTCACATTTGTGTTTTCAGGGAGTAAAGTGACAACGTTTGGAGAAGCTCAGACTTGATCAACAGGATTATACGAGAAGGTTTATTTCTTTCCCGTACAATTGGCGCCGTCTGTGTGTAGACACCCCATTTTTGACCGCCCTTAAGATTTGGGCACCACTGATGTTTTATTTGGTGGAGGAAGGTGTGCAGGGCAAATGTTCAGCTTCTTCGGCAAGGAGAGAGGTAAATCCTTCAAAACACTTTGTTTAGGAGTTTGGAGTTGAAGAAGAGAGGAAAGGAGAGGAGAAAACTAGTTTGGGAGAAGTTCGGCATGAATCCGGGTAGAAGCGAGTCGAGCGGCCCTCGCTGAATCAGGCTTATCTGTCTGTACACTTGGATTTTAGCTATGGGGCCACCACCGTCGGAAAGCTTACTTCTGGGGCTTCATTTTGCACTCAAGAATCTCTTAAAGCCAAGTCCGGGTGGGGGAGATATGATCAGTTGAAGTTAGGCATCATCCCGGTTGGATCGAATCTGCGCGGCTTCACCAAAAAGGGCATAACTTTTTGCACAGGACGAATTTTAATGCAAGGTTTGTGCCATAGGAAAGATAACTTCCGGGGCTTCAATCTAGACACCCACCGGCCATTTTTTGACCTTGGCAGCACCTATCGGCAATCTATTTATCCAACCGGCAATTTATTGTGCCGGCCGGCACTTTATTGTGCTGACCGGCCATTTTTGCTGGCCGACGACCTTCCGGAGTATTCTGCAGATTGAGTGGATGCCAGCTGTGCCAGCTGGAGGGCACAGACTGGATCCTCCATACACGTGTATGGAGGATCCAGTCTGTGCCCTCCAGCTGGCACAGCTGGCATCCACTCAATCTGCAGAATACTCCGGAAGGTCGTCGGCCAGCAAAAATGGCCGGTCAGCACAATAAAGTGCCGGCCGGCACAATAAATTGCCGGTCGGATAAATAGATTGCCGATAGGTGCTTCCAAGGTCAAAAAATGGCCGGTGGGTGTCCAGATTGAAGCCCCAGAAGTTAGACCAATTGCGCATTTCGATGCGTGATGGTCCAAGAAACCAAGTA